ATTCGATTTTTTTTTTTTTTTGCCAAATGTGGACAAAAAAGGTAATAAAAATTAAAAGCAAATTTTCTTTTTTACAAGTATCTTTATCATTATCATCATCATTATTATTATTAATTAAAAAAAAAAGAAAATTTCACTAATTTAAATGGCCAAAACTAGTAAATTTAGTTTAGTTTTTAACGAGTTTTTTTGATTGTTTTTTTTATTTTTTGAATAAAAATTTCGAGAGAAAAAAATTTTCACGAAACTTTACAAATACGGAAGAGTAAACTTGATTTAAATATTTATTTTTTTTCTGCGGGTATTAATAATAATAATAATAATAACTCTTTTCGGTTTTTCTTTTTTCCTTCCCCCTCCCCCGCTCCCCACCCTCAACGACAGCATAATCAGAATTTTTTAAACGGTCATTATAGCGTTTGTTATAATTATAGCGCGGCGGAAAAAAATTCGCCATTTTTATAAATTCTCATACGAAACGAAATTTAGAATGAATTTAAAATCATTTCGATTAATCGATTAATCGTCGAATCGATATTCGTATTAAAAACGATAAATGTAATTTTAAAAAAAAAATATTTTTTTAAACTTTCACCGGGTATTTTCTTTAAAAAAAAATCTAAAATAAGAAAAAGTTAAACAACCGAAAATTTCGTGCGATTAAAAAATCATCAAAAAATTATTATTATTATTAATTAAACTATATTTTTAAAAATTATAGCGTGCTTTTTTTTACCTCTATATTAAGAAAATGCGCTATATTTTTTGTAAAAACCATTTAAAACAATTTTCTTTTTAAACAAAAAAAATCGGAATTCATTTTTATTAAAAAAAAAAAAAAAAATTCGCAACGACGAAAATAGAACTCTCGTGATTTTTTTTTTCGTGTACGCATTGGATTTTATTTTTAAAAGCAGTGGCACGAGAACAAACAAACAAACAATTCGTTTAAAAGTTTTAAAAAAAAAATGGCGTTTAAAAGGATAATCGAACTTTCCCCCCACCACAACAAATTAAAAAAGAAAAATCGCAGAAATAATCGCCGTTAGCGATTTTATTTATTTTTGTTTTTTTTTTTTTTTTTTTCCTCGTCGATAACGAGAACCACGTTTAATGATAATAATAATAATAATGATGATGATAAAACGAAAAGACGAGGTGATGCTATGTGAAAATGGAGGCGAGACAAGTTTTAATACGAACGAGAATAATTGTTGGAGGTGGAAATTATGCTCTTGAAAACGTGAATTTTTGTGCTTTAATTTTTTTTTTTTTTTTATTGTCGCACTTTTTTTTTTTATCCGATAATGTTTACGATCAGTTATTCGAACGATTTTATACTCTATGGATCGATTCGCGTCGACATTTTGTTTTTTTTTTTTTTTTCGTTTACAAACACACAACAAACACGAATGAAAAATTTAATGATGGGAAAAATTGGGAAACGAACAACGATATGACGGGCGTATTCAGGTACGTTCAAAACCTTTTTTTTCTGTTTTTTTTTTCTTAACTAATTACCAACCTCGAATCGTAACATAACTTCAAATAATAATAAAAATAATTTAAAATTTAAATTTCGCGGTTTTTTGTTTTTTTTTTTTTTTACGTTCGAAAAATCGCGATTTTATTATTTTTTCCACGAGTTTAACGTTCCACGTAACGACTTTATCATTTTTTTTCCATTGCCTAGTCTCTTATCATTCGACTGTTGATTTCATTCAAGGTCACACATCGAAGAATTTTAATTATCACTCCGGTATCTTATCATGGAATGTATTAAAAAAAAAAAAAAATGGAGGAAAAGAATTAAACGGATTCGCGCGGATAATGTCACGGATGATAAAAAATCAGATTTTTCCTTTTTATAATAATTTTTTTTTTACGCGTTGGTAATTTTTTTTTTTTTCGCGATGGGTAATTAATTAATTACCCGCGATAATTAATAATTAATTATGCACGTAATAAAATAAAATATATATATGCGCGCTCGTATGAGTAAATAAAAAAAATTGATAATCATTTTGTTCTTTTTTTCTTTCTTTCTTTCCTTTTTCTTAAATATTAATATTAATTTTTTTAACGCTCTCGAAAGTTATTATTATTATTATTATTATTATCATTATTACTCTCACTTTCGAATTTAATTAATTATATAAGTTAAATATGTAGTGCGTTGTAGTGAGAAAACTCGTTTTTTTTCGGTTAAATTCTTCAATCGGAATATGGCGTAAACAAAAAATCCTTTCACCTTTTCCCATTCGAATCCTTCACTCGTTACTTAAATCGAATACCTATCGATTATCGTTTCCTTTATCGTAGGGTATAATAAAGAAAGATGAAGAAGAAGAAGAAGAATGGTTCGATATGCCGGTCTCACAAGAAATGACGAGGTACGAAAGGATACGAAAAGAAGAGATAGATGCAAACAAAAAAGGTTCGAGTAAGGTTGAAATTCATAACAGGTAAGTGAAATTCAGGTGAGGAAACCTTTAAAAAATTCGATTGATTACGTCACAATTTCATAAAAAAATTTTATATAAAATTAAATAAAACATTTTTCAGGTACACACACCCACACACGTACAAATAAAAGAAAATTATTTAGTGCATTCACGGAATAAATCGATAACGAGATTACGTAATCGTAGAAAAAGAGAGAGAGAGAGAGAGAGAGAGAGAGAGAGAAAGAGGTAATAAAATCTACATTTAAAAAAAAAGAAAAAAAAAATTTCAATACAATAATAATAACGTTTGCGTGAGTTTAAAAAAAAGGCATGGCGACCGTTGAACCATAAAAGTGGAAGAAGAAAAAAAATTTTTTAAACCGCAGCAAAATTTAAAAAAAAAATAATTTAATCGATAATCGTAAATAATTTGCCATCGTTTAAAACAACAACAACAACAACAGGAAGAACGATAATAATAGTTTCTAGAACAAATAATAATAATTTTTTTCATACATATATTGTTCTAATTGTGTCGGCCATATTGTTTTCATTTTAAAACTTCTTTTTTTTTTACTCTATGAAATTTGTTTTGTAAATCGGATTGTTTGAAAATCTAAACGTGTCACACCATTTTTTGAGAGAGAATTCATCACATCACTTCAATTGCATTCTATTCGTTAATTTAATCATCATCATCATCATCATCATCATCATCATCATCATCATCATCATCATCATCATTATTATTATTATTATTATTATTATTATTATTATTATTATTATTATTAATTGAATTTTACTATTTTAAACAATCACTCAAAACATAACAAACAGGATTCATCTAAATGAAAAATAATCCCGTTTTCATATTAAAGACACGCGGATTTTTTTTACAAACATTTCGGCCATTTTGAATAATCGTAAATTCAGTCGAAATCAATAAAAATTTCAATTTTTGACCTTAGCAAAATGTTGTGATCCCAACGAAATCTGATCACCAACGAGGGCATCTGTTTAATATTAACATGATTTATTTAATGTGGACATTTATTTGTTTCTTCAACCTTCTAAGAGCACGTTCTTCCCATTAAGTTGGAACAACGAACAAAGACCATATTCATCCCTTAAGAAGGGGATGATTGATTAATTGGTCACTTCAAGTGTAACAGATGCATCGATTGTTTTGGTCTTCATATAAATAGTGGGCCTCGGCACCACAGCTTGGTCTTTCGACATCCGTCCGTCAGTCAGAGTCTGCCTGGTTGTGTCTGTCGCATAGCGTTAGGGACAGTCAGTGCATCTTGGGTTGGATTCAAGAGCATCACATTCTACTTCCGCTTATATTATACTTAGTGTTTTTACTGACAAGTAGTGTAACTAGTAGTATATTTGGTTAATATAATACATCAGGTAGAAATTGTCTATTTATTATATTAAATATCCAAGCCAACTACGAGTATACTGCAAATCAGCAACACCGATCTCCTCGAAG